AATTTAAGTGGACTCATCCAGTACAATAAAGAGAAAGTAAAGGAAAAAAAAAAAAGGCAAACTCCCATCCCTCAAAGAAAAGTCAATTTCCTTCACGGGCAACAACAAATGACATGCAATCCAGTTCAAAAGTTGACACATGATTTAACATGCTTTTCCTCTAACTTACTCTCTAGAAGATTGAAAGTTGAAGAGAAAGTTCAAAAAAAGAAAACAAACTGAAATGTCCAAAGGCTCTTCTTCTTTTTTGGTCTAAAAATTTTTCTGTTAAGTTTTAGAAATGTCTGTTGATTCAAGTTCAGGTGATCATAGTAGTAACATAAGAGGAGTTCCAACGCATGGGGGTCGATATGTGCAGTATAATGTGCATGGTAGTCTTTTTGAAGTTTCAAGAAAATATGTTCCTCCTATTAGACCTATTGGTCGTGGTGCTAATGGCATGGTTTGGTAAGAAAATTTTACTTTTTTTTTTATATGCATAGGATAGGTTATAAGCTCTGTTTCTTCAGTTCTAATAGTGTTACAGGTATGTGAATTTATGTGTGTATTACCACCTTATTTACATATATATAGTGCTCTCTGAAGAGGAGCAAAGCTTACCCCTGCATGGAGATTGAGTTGTTTACCTTGAGGTTAACTATTCCTCATCGTTTCACCTATATATACTCACTTTTATGCTCTTTCTGAATGTTGTCTAGAGGTGTCAAAACTAGTAAATTACTCTGTTCTATTTTGTATTTCACTCTTTCATTTTTAGTCCGTTCAGGAAAGAATGACATCTTTTATATTTGAAAACTCTTCAACTTTAAACTTTAATTTTCATTTTTATGTATAATAATATTCTCCTATAGTCACATATATGTCATGACATCTTAAGGTCGCGAGTTTTAAGAATACTTTGGATATATACCAATAATTTTTCTTTTCTTTCTTAAGTTCCGTGCCTAGTTGAGCACGACTATATACAATGAAACAAAGGGAGTTTCATTTAGTATAATATAAACGCGGAAGTTCTTAACCATCAACATTAATCGAAGTTGGATCCGGTGAATTAATAAGATTTTGTGTGGTTGATATGTAAAGAAATCTGAATCAGATCATGCTAATTGGTTTCACATCTTCAATTGGACATTTCCTGATATATATAACACGGCTATAAGGTCTCTGATAATCATTTTCCATTAATTTTTCAATTTTGAGCTTTTCGACAATTGAAGCTATTAGTATGTATGCTTGCTCATTGATGTGTCTTAAAGTGACTCCATGTATGGTATATGAGTATGGTTGCTTCTATGTTTCCCTTGTTATGATTAGTGGCGGAACCACGATTTTCACTTAGGGGAGTCAGAATATAAAGAAGTAAATACACAAGAAGTCAAGGGGTTTCAACATAAAGTATATATACATAATTTTTTTTATCTACCTACACAGTCTAATTTTCGGACGAAGGGCAAGATTATTAGCTGCTCAAACTTTGTCTTGCATCTACATGTCTCACTAATCTAAAGCAAGATTTTGAAGTTGATCAATATGTTATCTTTTCACGTGATATATCCAGTGACAATGAATTCTTTGTTAATTAGGGATATTAAAGTTTTAGATCATATGCTGCTTGTCCTATGTTTAACTTCTTTCACTGTTGTAAGAGTTCCCTCTGTTGAACTTTTTTCCTCTATTTTATTAGTATGTGAAGGGAAGATGTTACAGTAATTTTTTTAATTTTGCTGCATGCAGTGCTGCTATGAACTCGGAGACACGTGAGGAAGTAGCAATTAAGAAGATTGGAAATGCATTTGATAATGTAATAGATGCAAAAAGGACATTAAGAGAGATAAAGCTTCTCAGTCACATGGATCATGAGAATGTAAGTATTGCACCTCTCCAGAAATCTCAATATTGCACCATGCTCCTTAAAAATATTCATTTTTGACTTTGCTTTGTATATTCACTAGAAAGTTGGACATCTATTACTACTTTGCTTCTAATAAAATGATAGCCCTTTTGTTTAAAATAGGAGTTACAGTAGTTTATTATGGAGAGTTTTGCCATACTGTCTATCAGACTAGGCAATAAAATTGAATCTTGATTATGAGCACTTCTGTTTGTAGTGAATACTCCTTTCAAAATATGCTGTTTCATTATCAAGTGTTAACCCATTGCTAAGAGTAAGATGATGTGTTGTATTAGTCATATGGTAGATTCATCACTAAAAAGATGGGAAGCATTAGCATTTATGGTAAGTATTGGTAACTAATTGCTGATTTGTGGTTTCTGAGTCGAGGGTCTATCGGAAACAACCTTTCTGCCTTCACAAGGTAGGGGTAAGGTTTGTGTACACATTACCCTCCTCAGACCCCACTTGTGGGATTACACTGGGTTTTTTGTTGTTGTTGTCGATGTTGTTGTTTTTGTATTATTTCCCCCCTCCAAGTACATGGATCTTGTACAATCTTTCCTGTGAATATTTAATGATTCTGCATTCCAGTTACAGTCAACTTTTTTTTTCCTCCGACTATACAGGTAATTGCAATTAAAGATGTTATAAGGCCTCCTCAAAAAAAGAATTTCAATGACGTGTACATTGTTTATGAGCTGATGGACACTGATCTTCATCAGATTATTCATTCCAACCAACAGTTGACTGATGAACACTGCCGAGTAAGCTACACTTCATGTCGTGTACTTAAGTTCCCATATTTGTTATTCATTTTCCCTAACCAGCTAGCTTGATTAGTATTTGAAGATTGAAGATGTAGTTCTGAATTATGTACTTGTTCTGCATTTTTATACATCATAACATGATTGGTCCCATTCTTTAATTTTGTAGCATTTTCTGTACCAAGTATTGCGTGGACTTAAGTATATTCACTCTGCCAACATCTTGCATCGTGATTTAAAACCCAGCAATTTGCTAGTCAATGCAAAATGTGACCTAAAGATTGGAGATTTTGGGCTTGCAAGGACGACAACTGAGACAGATTTCATGATGGAATATTGTGTGACACGCTGGTATCGTGCACCAGAGTTGCTACTAAATTGTTCAGAGTATACATCGGCAATTGATGTTTGGTCAGTAGGCTGCATACTTGGTGAAATATTGACAAGACAACCCCTTTTCCCCGGCAGAGATTATGTACACCAGTTGAGACTTATTACTGAGGTACATATTAGTAGATAGAATTTGTACTTCTGCATTCATGCATTTAGAGTTCGTTTTGGCTTCGAGCTGAGCCAGTTCATCTGACATGCTCTATTTTTGTCTTTGCAATAGCTCATAGGCTCACCTGATGATGCTAGTCTCGGGTTTCTCCGTAGTAATAATGCCCGAAGATACGTTAGGCAGCTCCCAAGGTACCCGAGGCAACAATTTTCTGCCAGATTCCCTAATTCATCTCCCCGAGCTGTTGATTTGCTTGAAAAAATGCTCATCTTTGATCCGAGCAGGCGTATTACTGGTAAAGAATTTACTAGGGATTTTGTTCCTTTCTAGATTTACTAAATGCTACTAAGTATATTCTGTCAATATTTGCTAGTTAATGACCTTTTTTTACTGGATTATTGCAGTTGATGAAGCTCTCTCCCATCCGTACTTGGCGCCACTTCATGATATCAACGAGGAGCCTGTTTGTCCTAGGCCTTTCAGTTTGGATTTTGAGCAGCCATCTTTCACTGAAGATAATATCAAGGAGCTCATATGGAGGGAAGCCGTAAAATTTAATCCTGATCCAACTCATTGAAAGAGATGTGGTTATATGATGTATACAATAAGAATTTGGTTATTTAACTTCTCTAATATACTGTTTTAGACTTGTAATGTTCCCTAGTGATGATGACTGAATAAATATGGTGGAGCTGTTGAGTTCAAGAAATTGTTAGTGGCTTAAAGTCAGATACTTATTCCCTTATTCTGTTTGGTTTATTGGTGTTGCATAAGGAAGCTAAATGGTAGCCTGCAATTAGAAGGTTCAAAATACTGGTTCTCTCTGGGTGATAGAACTAAGAAATCCTGAGTGCTGACTGCTTGTTTTCCTGAATATTTCACCTATTCAAGTGGTTTGACATTATATGGAGATCGTTCATGTGAGAATGGACAGTGAGTGAATGATTTTTGAAGTTGTATGCATATTTATAAGCTATGTTGCTCGAACTCTCCCAAAATGTGGCCCGATATGTGTCGGATCCTCCAAAAGTAGTGCATTTTTGAAGGATCAGACGCGGGTGCGGCTACATTTTGGAGAGTCCGCACAACATAGTTTATAAGAACTTGCCTGGATTACTTGATTCGCTTATCGTTCTTGCTCAACTGTAGTGTTCAGCATGTTGAAAGAATCTCTGCTTGGTCTTCTTATCAATGTTTTTTATTGATAATTTCCCTTTTGTTAGTTGTTGACTTTCCAACATCGGATGTGGGATTAAATTTGGTTCCTTATATGGTCTTGAGCAGTTTTTCACTTCATGAGCTAGCTTTTGAGGTTGAGTTAGGGCAAAGTCCATTTCTTATCACGGTATCAGATTCATACTCATCCCAATTCTTAGTTTACCCGATGTTGGGCCTCCATGTTATGTTATCCACGCTCTAGATGTCCAGTCATGGGCGTGGTTTTTTNATATGGTGTTGAGCAATCCTCGGTTCCTCATTTCAGGAACTAGCTTTTGGGGTCGAGTTAGGTCCAAGGTCCATTTCGTATCATTAGCTATACTAATTTGGCTTCTTATTAATGAAGCTTCTCTAGCTCCACATGAAAACCTTGGAAATTTAGTAAGATATGCACATTTTCTGGATAGAAGTCTTCTAGTCATGTTAGAGATTTATGCTAGTAGAAAATATAGCGAACTTATAATACTTTTTACTTTATCTAATTTATAATATTGGCACTTAAAATTTACATGGTCGGTGAAGATTCATATTGCCGACCCCAATTTGTTTGAAATGTAGGCGTAGTAGTAGTAGTAGTTAATGTCGTTGTATACACATTTTGCTGGATATTCAAGGGCTAACATTGAAGATGAAAACACTAAGATATCAGATAGTTTCATTAACTTATATTGCTGATACATTATGGAGAGCTTATTAGTAATTCAATCTATAGGAACATCTTTGCATCTCTATGTTATCAATAGGTAAACTCTCTGTAGGAAAATCACACATTTCACTCTTTTCTGGGCCCTGATCAGGCAACAACTGACAAGGTGGAGGCTGCACACCACTGGTAATTCCTTCAATATCAGTGCAAGTCCATGGATATTTCTTGGCCTTCTTTGCCATACTTATTGTCACATTCGACATGCAGATTCCGGTAAACGGATCCCCAGAAATCCCCTCTAGCCGAGCAGCCATTGACACGTTCTCAGCCACCACATCGCGGTAATTAATCCCTTTTATCTCAGGCAATGCATTAGGATCCCAATGAGTGTCAGCATGTGATCCATAATTGCCAGTCATCCAAAATACCCATTTCATTGTGTGCAGTGTCATCCCTTTGACATATACATCTTTGACAAAACCGCCTCGGCCAACAGCAGTCTTGATCCTCACCCCTGATTCTGTGTTGATGGCCGTGATGTCCTCGGCTCTCACATCTTGAATCCCACCTGACATTTCACTTCCTAATGCTATTGCAGCACTATAAGGCGAAATGCAAGTCAGGCGCCTGATGACTAATTGACTTGTTGGCATTCCGTATTTTATACCATATTCATCCCAACCACTTTTAACTGCAACACAATCATCTCCAGATACAATGTAATTATCTTCAAGTCTTACATTTGTGCAAGAATCTGTAAAGAACAAAGAAATGAAAACTTTACTATTGATCAACATATCATTAGCTTTTTTTCTCATTCGAATACGTTAAGGAGGAAGGGGATCCTTGGCGCAAGCCATGTGACCAGGAGGTCACGGCCTCACGGGTTCGAGTCGTGGAAACAGCCTCTTGCAAAAATGCAGGGTAAGGCTGCGTACAATAGACCCTTGTGGTCCAGCCCTTCCCCCACCCCGCGCATAGCGGGAGCTTAGTGCACCGAGCTGCCCTGCGTTAAGGAAAAACAGACCTGGATTGATTCCATCAGTGTTTGGAGATTTTACTGGAGCTAAAATAGTGATGCCTTGGATAATGATATTGCTGAAATTTCACATTAACCAAATATTCATGATAAACTTTAGTGTAAATAGATAACAAGTGAAAGAATGAAGATATTGGCCAAGTAAAATCACCTGCTATAAACAGGATGGATATTCCAAGATGGAGAGTTGACAAGGGTTAGATCTGATATCTGAATATTATCAGAATGCATAAGTTCAATCAAGTAAGGTCTTGTGTATTTTAGCTTTTTGCTGTGAAATTTCTGCCACCAAAGTTCACCCTGCCCATCTATTGTTCCATTCTCACCTAATAGTTTACACAAGAAAAAAATCACAATTTTTAGAAAAATGTCTAAAATTTTGAGAAATGAATAGCTTAAATGCATATAAAAATTGGATATAGGATGGTTGTTTACACTTTACCTGTGATGATAACATCAGTAAGGTTAGTGCCAAATAAAAGACTGATGTACCTTCCACCTGCTGCATCCCTACCATGACCATATGATGGTAATGGGTCTATAACAGCCCACTCATTTATTTCCTGAACCATTTCAATTATTCAGTCAACAATAACTATAGTACAAATTGTTAGAAACATCATGTTAATATACTGATTTAACTAAGAGAGTGTATGCTTGCATTAGAGTAGGCTGTCTACATCACACCCTTAGGGTGCAGCCCTTCCCTGGACCCTGTGAATACGGAATGCTTTGTGCGCCAAGCTTTCCCCGAGACGATTGAGCCTGATACTGAAGCTACGTACAGTATCAATCAATCAATTACACCTCAATTACAAATTAATTGGAGTAAAGAAAATCATTTGTATCCATTCCGCTCTATTCAGGTCATATTTCATTTCACAACTAAATGGAGAGATCGATTTTATCGCCTATTACAAATGTTCTTTTAGTTACATGGCCTAATAACACAACAACAACCACCCAGTACAATCTCACAAGTGGGGTCTGGGGAGGGTAAAGTGTACGCAGACCTTACCCCTACCCGAAGGGTAGAGAGGCTGTTTCCGAAAGAGAAGAAAAATAAACAATAGACAATAGCCTAATAACACGAGATCGCTAAATAAGACACGGGAGATTGTATGGTCATTTTCTTCTGTTCGAATTGTAATCGGTCATAAGAAATCATTTCCTCGGGAAATGGACTAAATAAATTAGAGTACCTGAGAAGCAAGAAGAACAGCATCTTTTTGAAGGAAGAGAGTGAAATGGCTAGTAAGATTAAAGCTACCAGTGAGCCATTGACCAGCAGGTACTATAAGTTGTGATCCACCATCTGATGCATACTGACTCAACTGATTCACTGCTTCTTGAAATGCTTTAGTGTTAAGTGTTTTTCCATCACCAACTCCTCCAAAATCTGTTATTGATGCACTGTGTGCTCTACAACTTATTGCTTTGTACTCTAAATCATAAGAAGAAGACTCATCAAGAATTCTTGATTTTCTTCCCTCTGCTCCTACTAAAAGCACCAACACTAATATCACCAGTAGCAACCAACTTGTCTTTTCCATCTGCAACATAGCAAAAACACACTTAAGGAAAAAAACTTACAACACTCTTAAGGAAGCCTAGTACACTAAGCTCCCGCTATGTATAGGATCCGGGGAGTGGCTGGACCACGAGAGTCTATCGTACGAAACCTTACTCTGCAATTCTGCAAGAGGCTGTTTCCAGGCTCGAACCCGTGACTTCCTGGTCACATGGCAACAACTTTACCAGTTACGCCAAGGCTCCCCTTCTAACACTTCTAAAAGATGAACCATAAAAAAGGAAATTTTTTAAGGCCATGTTTCTTGAGGCCTGACTCCGAAAACCCCTAGATTGATCAATTTGAGTTTGCGTTGTGTAGGGCTTACTAAAGCATAGGCACCCTTACCAGGAGTTTTTTCATTCACAAGGCTCCAACACGAGACCTCTAGTTAAGGTGTGGATGATCCTATCGATTCCCACTATGTTTCTTGATGGTCAAAATTGTTCTTTGCAAGAAGAGAGCAAGAACTATAGGGCAATCCGGTGCACTAAGCTCCCATTATGCACAAGATCTGGGGAAGGGCCGGATCACAAGGGTCTATTGCACGTGGCCTTACCCTACATTTCAAGCTGTGAGTGATCTCGTGATCACATGATGACACCAACTTTATCGGTCACGCCAAGACTCCTATTCAAGAGATCAAGAACTTGGTTCTAGAAAATGTTTCACAATTTTAAAGAAGAAAAGACATACTTTCAAAGGAAAGAATTTCTTTTTAAAGCAGCATTTGATATAAAAGTTGGTAAAAGAAAGAATGAGCATATGCTTTGGTTCTAGTTTATTATTGCACTATACTGAACTACAGAAGAGAAATAAAGAGTAAATGGTATGAACATCACTTACCTGAGATGGCAATGGGATTCTATAAAATGAATGCATTGCTTAGTAGAAATATGGTATGGAATTGGTTTGGTGGTATAATATGCAAATATGTAAATAGGTTATATTATATAGACAAAGTTTTGTAACTGAACTGCAGCAACCTTTTTGTCACAGACTGATATCAATCTGTGACATATTTGGATTGAGGTAAAAGATTCTCTGAAGTGGACAATTTTCTTCACCTTTTTTCCGCTTTTTATTTTTGTTGTTATTTGCTTTACATACATATAATGATTTAAAATCTCATAGATTACTGGAATAGCCTGACATAAAAAAATTGAACTCATCAATTAGAAGTTGATTACTCAATTTATCATTACTATTATAGTCTAAACAACTTTCTTGATGAAGTTAAGCATACTCTTTAAATACCAGGTTAAGCAATTCTCTTTATGTTTTAGTACATCTTAATGATGTCAATCCTCGTTTGTAGTAGGCCTTGAGGAATGGTTTATAGACCAAGCAAAAATGTAGGTGTTTCCACATTATTAGGTGTATATACATAATAACATTATTTTTTTGATTGCTCACCCGGTATCAAAATCCAGCTAATTCAAATGCGCATGGTGTCAATACTTCCTATTAAGAAGTTCTTTTTTATTATCAAAGTTTTAATTCGAAACTTCTGATCAAGAATAACAATTTCCAACCATTTTATCACACTTTTTGACGTTATAGCTAGAAAGGGGACGAAGGAGCAGGGGCGGATGCACCTCTAACGAAGCAATGCCACGCGTAGGGGCGGAGGTAGAGTTCGGCCACCGGGTTCATTTGTACCCAGTACTTTCGATGCGGAGTATAAATTTATGTGTAAAAAATCATTAAAATTGCAACATATGGTAAGTCTGAACCCATAAATTTAAAGATACAATGAGTTCAATGCTAAAAATCTTAAATGTTGAACCTATAGAATCTAAATCCGGGATCTGCCTCTGGCCATGCGACACCGCTTCGTCAAAAAAGTATACTAAATATATGTATTAATACGGTAAGAAACAAACAAGTAAGAAAAAATGATACCACTTAACATAAATCGTCTCTTGGCATGTTGGTTGTGTGCTTGATTTTGCTCTAAGAGATTAGTGTTTTAAACCTCAACAAGCAGACCTTTTTTGTAAATATATTTAAAATATCCTCTATGGTTAAAAATTACGATGAAGTAGAATTAAAAGTAGAACTTTTTCCTATTTCTTGAAGTATGATAATTAAAGTTATTATTACCTTTCAATATCAGTAGTGTGTATTTTTAGTGGTGGGGTGGTGGGTTCGTGCTTGGCCGTTTCAGTTGGAAAGTAGTTGGTGGGGGTCCCATTTGCGTCGGCTTTTAGTAGAAGGGATTTTCCCATAATTCAGTCTCGTGACCCTTTACCGCACTATTGCCGACCCACTTCACGGGCGTTCCTTAGATTTTGGCTATCATGTCTAAGGTTTTTTCTTACTACTTTTTTATTTATTTTTATTTTTTATTTTTATAATATTACATCCAGGTTCAACCACCCAAATAGAAAGTGTTCTTCTAAAAAAAAATTAAATATTTTTTTTTAAAACTTAAACAATTTTTTTTCATCACCAGGGAACGGATGGGAGAGAAACGCAGCATGGGAAATATTCGCGTCTTTACACGAGCTGGTTAAATGCTTGAAATAGAGCACTCGTAGTACGAGGGGTTGCTCTGATGGTAAGCAACCTCCACTTCCAACCAAGAGGTTGTGAGTTCGAGTCTCCCCAGGAGCAAGGTGGGAAGTTCTTGGAGGGAAGGACGTCGGGGGTCTATTTGGAAACAGCCTCTCTACCTCAGGGTAGGGGTAAGGTCTGCGTACACACTACCCTCCCCAGACCCCATTAAGTGGGATTATATTGGGTTGTTGTTGTTGTTGTTGTTGTTGTAGTACCTGTTAGCGCGGCTACCTAGTGGAAGGGAAGGAGTTGTAGTAGACTTGCATTCAATCTCGTCTTTATGCTCTTTGGCTGGCAATCATGAGACCGCTCTGCTGTAATGGATGACAGAGGGTCCGTAGTAACCGAAAAGTGAGAAAACATAACGAGCGGGGAGGCGCTTGTTGATTTTTCCGTCATCCAATCCACAATAAATCATATAAAACTTGACGAGATCCGGATTATTGATGAAATAAGTACCAAATAATTTTGCAATGAATAATGAATAGAGCATAGTCAATACAACTATAATATGGGATTGAGGTGCAATTGAGGTAATTTTACTCTACGAAGCTAGTATTTTCGCTACATCCTCACCGCTTTTGCATCGTATATATGAGTAGAATTAGTGATATTATTAAATCCCTTTGAAAATCTTTACACAACTAAGGAACAAGTGTATTGTCAATAATTTTATACCATGAATCATCACCCTCTAATACATTTATGGAGAATGTCTATTAAGGTTAGGTACACACACTCACATAGTTTTGATGGAATTACTACAGTAATTAGCTATTTTATCTTATGTTGTTAATCACTAGATCAATATGTCAGTTGGCCAAAAAAAAAGGTTCTCTTTTAGTTTAGTCCTTGAGCAAGTATTGGGGGCGAGTGATTATGCAGGACATGACGATGTTTCAGATTTCCGAGGACATGGCACTTGATAGGAACGTGTGGAGGTCGAGTATTAGGGTTGTACGCTAGGAGGTAGTTGAGTTTTGCCTTATGCCATAACTATGGGAGACTAGTTTGTTAGGGATACTATTTTGCTTCTGTATTGTAGCATTCCTCTTGATTTCATGTTGTTCTTATTTTTCATATATATATATATATATATATATATATTTCATATTATTTCTGCGGTGTTACTAATATTATCTTCTTTTGTCCTTTTGTCTTCTTGAGCCGAGGGTCTTTCGGAAACAGCCTCTCTACTCCTTCGGGGTAGGGGTACGGTCTGCGTACACACTACCCTCCCCAGACACACTAGTAAGATTTCACTGGGTTGTTGTTGAGCCCATAACAAAATGCTATATATTTCGAGTAAAATAATACTCCCCATATTAGAGTGGTTCTAACTATGATTACACTTTGCATGCATAGAAACTAGAAGAGAGATGGAGGACCATAAATCTTTTCTGTTTTATGGTTGCGTATCTTTGTTTATACTTCAATTCCATTCACAGCCACACACAACATTCTGCTGCCTTTCATATGCTATATATTATATAGTAAAATAAAACAATATTTTACATGATGATAGCATTTTCATTAGCCCATTGGCCATTAGTGGCCCTCCTCTTTATCCTCAAAAGTCCCCACTTCTTCACGAGTGCTTGTTTTGGTTTTTGGCTGACCAAACTAATGTCCCATAAAAACATTTAATAAACCGGGGCGAAGCTAGCATAGAACTTGCGGGTTCGGCCGAACCCAGTATAACTTTGGTCTAAACTATATATTTGTCTTAAATTTTTTATTGAATATTGTATAAATTGTTAAATTAGAACGCAGTAACATAAACAAACTAGAATCTCGAACCTACAAACTTCAAATTCTGGCTCCGTCTATAATAATAAATGGTATAATACCCGCCATGAAAACACCATGACATAGAATTGCTCGCTTATAAAGTATTCCTAATAAGAATATACGAACTTGCTGTATGATAACTAAGAGGCAGACAAATTCTATTACCTACACCCTAGCAAAGTAAGAACTAGGCAGAAAAGTACAACAATGGAGGAAAATTATAAGAACAAAGATCATATAGTGCATCGGACAGAGAACTGTGAAGTTGAATACATTGTTCTTAACATTGGCAGATGTTTCTTGTGTATTGGTGCTATAAAAGACAAACACTGGGCGCAGGCCTTGATCAAGAAAACTATGGGATTATCTTTCTTCCTCAACGGCAAATTTGCATGCATTTTGAACTTCAATGGAAAGTACTTAGAACTTACAAAATTTACCAACATTGGACACGAAGCCCCAACTAAGTTCAATTCTATGCAACTCGTCTCAGGCAAGAGCAAGTGGATTCATTCCAAGTGACGGATTCACACATGAGGACTGTTATTTTACTTGGGCTTCTGGATCCTTGAATTATGAGTGACGAAACAAAATCCAAGAACTCGAGAATACAATGTCCTATACATGCTTACTTGAGGGATGTTATACAATTCTGACGTCTACAGAGTTAACAAGATGAAGTGGAAAATCAGCAAAAGATGATCCTCTGTTCCCAGTTAAGAGACATTTATGTCTCAATAGAGACAGTGAGTTCGCCTCTAAGGAGAAAAACAAAGAATTTTTTTTTTGAAAATGAGACAACATCAAACCCCTTGAGCCCAGTTGGTGTTCAACAAAAAAAAAGATCCCAGGACAATATCCTTACGTTAAATTCACACCTAGTTTAGCATTGAAGGATAGTTTATTAATTACTAACTACTGGTCAATAACCTACCAGTACCTGTTTGACAATCTCTCCCCCTCCTTCCGGATCTCTTTTACAATCAACAAATCCTGTCATGAATCAACATGATTTATTTATATACAAAGCATGAATAGGAGAAAAGGAAGAAAAGAATAAATCACTCTGTATAACCAAAAGGTCCAAAATTAAAGAAAAACCAAAGAACACTAGGATGTAAACTTCCGTCAATATTACACAACTTGCAAATTATTATAAAAGGATCGGCAAAAAACTTATGACTGCACCAACTACAAGAAAAGACCAAAAAGGAGCTTTTCTTGCCTAAAGAAAATTTTAATGTCAGATGGTCTCTTCAAACTAAATAACACCATCTTTGTTATGAAAATTACCTGGATATCAGTCTTTGATCAGCCAAATGCTTCAATCTTTTTCCGATCTCGGTCAAACCTTCAAGAACAGCAAGTAGAAAGCCTTAGGACATGCATCCTCCACTGTTTACAAATCTAGCCACACAAATGTCTAACACTTCTGAACTAGTTTTGGACCACAAGTTTCAAAGCCTTTCTTTCTTTCTTTCCAACTACTAGAAATCTTCACATTTCCAATGGCTCATCCAGTTGGAAAATCATTATTTTGATGGTTTGCAACACCGTTTAGATTTATCCAACGGAATACAACTTGCCGGAAAAGGCTTTCGACAGAAGCCATGGGTAACTTCAGACCGCCACCATGAAACGCGGAAGTTGAATAACGACTGAGATCCATCAAACATATTGTTAAATCTGGAAATTTTATTTAGAATTATCCAACGACTTCTGTTAGAAATCCGTCAGAAAAATGGAAAGTTATGAACAATGAACATCTGTTTTTTAAGCTAAACCACCTGCCAAATATGAAAACAACAACCAAACAACAGGAATTTAACAAAACAATCAATCCACCAATTCCAAGCCGTCAATCCACCAATTCCAACCAATCAAACCCTTAAAATTCCAACAACTAAAGTATTCAACATAAACGTTGTTACTAAAACATCCAAAATACAAGCCTAAACATTCAAACACCATTCAAGTAACATCTCAACAAAATCAAACAAGTAAATGCTTCAAACATCACAACTGGAACAAACTAATTCTCGTCATCAGAGTCAGACTGTGGATCAGATCGACGACTATCCATGAGTTTATGCATTAAATCCTCCAGTCTATCAAGTTTTAAACTATTTGCTTCGTGGTTTTCCGACGTCTCTTGTATTTGTCTGCGCAATGAATCTATCTCTTCCTCATTCTGCGAAGAACTAGAAGAAGCACCAGACAATCTTGAAGCAACATCATCGGATGATGGTTGGGTTGAGCTACCTCCAACGGGCTGGCTTTGCGCCATTCATCCAAAACTTTTGTATGTCCATCCTGAAATTTAAATGATAAGCATTATATAACAAACTCATGTTAAAGAACAAAATAGTTCTAATATTAGGATCCTACATATGTCCCCTCAGCATGTGGCTTGACCAAAATTCTTGTACCATCTTTTTTCTTTTTCACATGTGTCTCCTCAAAGACCTCATCATTCATAGTTCTCCCTTTTAACTTTTCCTGCAAAAAGAAAAAATATGAGTTGGATAAAAGTTCGATTGTGTGTAGTTAAAATCAAGGAAAATTTAATAAACAAGTTACCAATCTCCTTCGATGGGTCCCTATACTAACTGAACCCCCTGTGTGCAACGAGCCCTTCTTGGAGGCTCGGGCGGCCTCTCCTTTGGTGCTCTTCTTCTGAAATTCTGCATTGTCCCACTTCTCATTGAGTCTAGTCCATATATCTTCTAACATCCAGGTGGGCTTCTGACGCTTTCTTTGAGCAGTCCTCAAGGTATCTTCAAGCATATCAGCAGCTTTCTTCTTGAAATTACTACTTATTTGATGATCATGCTGGGCATACCATGCACACTTCACCTGCAAATAATTAATAACATTAGATGAAAACATAATAATTTTATAAATAATATAAAAAAAAATTTATTTATACCTTAAAGTAATTCCACATATGGTCTCTGACAATGTAAGGTATTTCTCCCTAGGTATTCCAAGCGTCACGATAAAATGCTATAATACAATCCATAACCACCCTCGTAGATAGCGTATTGGGAAAAAACCTGCATTAAATTTAACACATGTAAAAAATATGTTCAATAATTAAAAACTAACAAAAAGATTGCTCACCCATTAGTCCCATCAGGAGCGATAATCAACCTCTGAAGACTATCCAATGCTCCAACCTCTCCACGATTGGGAACCAATTTCTTTGCTGTATAGTAATTATTGGGTAAGTCAATTTTATTTGGATCAAGTTCATTCATAAGCCCAATGATATAGTCCATGGCCGCTACCGAAACATTCCAATGCGATTTAATAAAAAGTAACCCATGTGCAACAGACAACTTAGAATGCATTGAGCCTTCACAGAATGGATGACTAGCTTCCTCTAAGTGTTCATAGAAGCGCTTAGTCTCATCATTGGGAGAATGCTGAACACTTGGTTGGGATTGAACACCTGAGTACATCCCAGAAGTATCCTTAACCATTTTATTGAATCGAGAATTTTCAAAATTCTTCTCCACCAATGGACTACTCTCACCCCTAGAAAATTTTTGAAAATCGAAAACACCGGCATTGGCATCAACTTCTCCATGAAAAATCCACACATAATAATCTTTCATAAACCCCTTCTTATAAAGATGATCTTTAATGTCCTCAGGTTTCAAAAACTTAACACATTTGCATTTCACACAAGGACACCTAATCATTCCTCCAATGAGAAATCCATTAAATGTTTTCGCCCGAACAATAAATCCCGCAACCCCTTCTACAAATTCTTCTCTCAACAACCGTTGATTAGGATAATTCTTTTTGTACATCCATCTGCGATGTTCAAGTTCCATCTACACAAAGAGCAAAAATAGAAATTGAGATACTTAAAAATAATTTATTTTATTCAAATTAATTTACACTCTTCTGCCTAACATTCAAAGGTCCCAAAATAATTACTACAAAATTAGCAAAAACGTATACTACTTTTGCTACACAAGATTATAAAAAGCGTTCAATCTATGCAATTTATGAACACTATGGTTGATAATCCTAACTCCTACATTAATTCAAGTTAGCATAAGGATTCAAGTTATCTGTAAACCACAGTAGTCACTCCATATTTATACAGGAATCAGTTATTCAAATTGAACATATTGGGAAAACAAATAAGCAAACATGCGCAGCAGTTAAACTTGGACACACAACAAATTTAAAAGAACAAAATTTGCTTTAAGCATAGCGTCAAACCTAAGCTCAAAGAGAGAAGAAACCCTAAAAAGAGGTGCCGCCGCTGGAATGAAGAGGAATAGAAGTCACGAAATGAGATATGGTCCACAAAATAAACTTATATAACACAAGTTTTCCGACGGCTTTCGGTCGGAAAAAAAAACCGACGAACACTAATTATAGATATTTTGCCTCGATCTTTGGTATATTTTCCGACATTAAATATTTTTTTTAGCCTTAATATCCAGCTGTAAGGCATTATCTCTTGTTCCGACTGCCTCCGTCGGAAGTTCGGTCGGTAAATCACTGAAGAAATCCATATTCGAATCCAAATTTCCCGCTCCGTTTAGTAGACCCATTTTCCGGTGTTTTATAGTGTGTGAAAGAGAATATTCAATTTGGCAGTTGTTATTTTTTTAAGATTTTGAAATTCGATTTTTCAATTATCAAGTCACTCTTTCTTCACTATTTTTCGGCTCTGTTTTTTTTTAATATCTTGTCCTTGTTACTAATTATTAATATTATTTTTACATTTATTTTTTTGATTATTAGGTCATTGGTACTATATTTATGGAGTATGTTGTTGTTACTTTTCTATTACAGTTAAACCCCTTTAAAACAATCTTGTTAGCTCTGATATATTTTGGCTGCTATAGCGAGTTGCTGTTATAAAGGACATATATTATAACATAATATAAAAATTGGTTCCGAAAATACTTGGCTTTTATACTGAACTAGTCTCTTGGTACGCGCTAATTATAAAATTTTAAAAGATCATATAGTTATTGTCACGACCCAAAATCCATTAAGGGTCGTGATGGCGTCGGACGCCACTGCCAAGCAAGCCAATACCAAATAACTAGTAATTTCTCGTTTTAATATTTTTGAAATCATCTCCTTTATACATTTAAATAACGATGTTTTTACAAAATTTAACTGCTGAATAATCTCATAATTATCCCAGAATCCAGTGTCACAAGTGCATGAGCAATTTCTAGGAAAAACAAGATGTAATGCAATAACTGTTCGGAATACAAGTTGACAGAAAGGAAAATACAATACAGTACTCTGAAGGAGACTCTGCCGGCTGCAGGGCGTCTTGAGAGGTGCAGTTCACCTAAGTCTCCGTATCGAACATGTCGCTGCGCCTGACTAGGCCACTAGTTATACATGTGCATGTGCAACAAAAATGCACAACAAATGTAGTATGAGTACAAAAATAATGTGTACGCAGTAAGTATCCCGTCTAACCTCGAAGAAATAGTGACAGGAGGTCGACTTCGACACTTACTAGTGGTCCAATAATATCGGATACAATAAAAAACATGAAACAGAGTAAATATGTGAAATAAACAAGTATAAAATATGCGATACAATTCCCCTCTTTATAATTTAATTCAAGCTCTCAACTAGCAAGTTTCCTCTGTATCCGGAGCATATATATAGATATAGTGGATTTTATTAAGGAAGTAGTCATAATTCAAATCAGGTAAAAATCCCTCTGATTTCCCTGGCTTCTAGCCAAATATCGCGCACGATTCCATGAGGATAGTATATGTATATTTATATATAGGAAATGCCGAGGTGTACGACCCGATCCAACATAAAAGTAAATTGTGCACTGCCAGAGGATGGAATGACGCAAACCATAGATGCATCTATTAACCTGCCGAGACGATCGGCCCGCTTCCATGAGAGTAGTAAAAAGCAATACCCCGCTCGCGAATCAAACATGCGACGGGGTCAAATATAATTTAAGAGACTTCCCTGCTCGCGAATCATACATGTGACGGGGTCAATTATAGATTTCTTAAGTTATTATGATATTTATCATTTTTTTTCAAAACTACGAAGTTTAATGGAAACTCTTAAAATCTCAAATTCCTCAATTCAATTTTCTTTCAATCCAATTATTACGCAACCTTAATCTTGTTTCTTCTCAAACAAACAATAAACATAAATTAACAACAATATCAATCAGGCATGATGTAAGCCTAAAACTACCCGGACATAGGCATAGTTAGTAGCTATGTACGGACTCTCGTCACCTCATGCATACGTATCCCCCTCAAATAGAAGCACATATTTAATTATTTCACATATGAGGTTAATTCCCTCTTACAAGGTTAGAAAGGAGACTCACCGCGCTCCGAAGCTCCATAACCGACTTTCAAGCCCTTCCGACGACTCAAACCGATACGCAGTACTCCAAAACTATCCAATAATCATGCAAAACCATTAATATACGCTCGAATACTCATTATAATCCAATTTATAACAAATTTTAACCCCGATCAAAAAGTCGGTAAAAATCACCATTAGGCCCACGTGCCCGGATTCCGAAATTTTTCGAAGATAAACTTTACCCATACCTTCACAAATTCAAATATATAATTTATTCTCAATTCCATGCCCAAAATCGTAGTCAAAATCCAAGAATACTAATTCCTAGGTTTTTCTCCAAAATTCCAATTTCTACCAATTTTCATGCTAAAATCTATACATAATCAATGTATTTAACTCACGATAGGTGGGGATAGCTTACATTGTCATTGATGATGAAATCCCCCACTTGAAACTCTCCAAAAATCGTCCAAACAAGAGTGAATGGAAGAAAATGGGCCAAACTCCCGTTTTAAAGAAACCTCACTGCCTCCAACATTTTCGCACTTGCTGCCACACGACCGCTTCTGCGGTCTAGAGCTCCCAGCCCATTCCCGCTTCTGCGCCTTCCCTTCCGCAGGTGCGGTCCCGCTTCTGCAGCGAGATGACCACATCTGCGGTCCCATCTCCCCCGCACCAAAATCGCACATGCGACCACAGGGCCGCTTCTGCGGCTCCGCACCTGCGGCCCAAGCCTTGCACGTGCGGTTACACCAAAAGGCAGTTGCTCAATTCTTCTTCTAACTCCAAATTTGATCCGTTAATGCCCCGGAATCCACCCTAGGCTCCCGGGACCCCGTCCAATCACACCAACCAGTCCCATAACATAACGCGGACCTGCTCGAAGTCTCAAATCACATCAAACAATGCTAAAATCACAATTCACACCTCATTTTAAACTTTATGAACTTTAGAACTTCGAACTTCTTCATTCAATGCTGAAACCTATCAAATCACCTCCGATTGACTTCAAATTTTGCACACAAGTCATATTCTACATTACGGACCTACTCTAACTTCCAAAATTGGCATCCGACCCCGATATCAATAAGTCCACTTGCGATCTAACTTCTCAAAAACCTTTAAATTTCTAACTTTCGTCAAATGACTCCAAAATGACCTACGGACCTCCAAATCCACTTTCGATCGCGCTCCCCATGTTACCCCCCGTAACTTTAACAATCTTGACACCGTTATATACATTTGATATGGTATTTTGAGTGGAATATTTTTGTAAAATAGTTTCAAATAAAAAAATAGTTTGAAAAATATGATCTTATATAGTTACTAATATTACTACTTCTGAATATGTTTTAAATTGTACACACGATATAAGAAAGTTTATGAGATTTTTTTTATAGTAAAATTAGAAATTATTTTTTGCACAAGAAAAGAAAGTTATCTTTTTACCATTTTTATAATTAAGTGTACGAGAATTTGCACTCTTTATATGAGATTAGAAAAATTAGAAGTTGAGAAAATACGTGCATTTTTTTGCATGGATGTTTTAATGAAATAATAGTGTATGAATTTATTTTACATGGTACCACATGACCGTAATAGTACGGTGTATAAAATGTATTAAAAATAAGTAGAATTTTAAGTAATTTAAAACAATTCTTAACTATGTGGGTAAGTGGTTAATTACCGGGTAACGAGTCATTACCTAATTAATTAGTTCAATATTTTGGATAATCTTTCCCACCCCCACTTGGCAGCCCTCCCTTTCAAAGCAATGACTCTTAAAGTCATGTAAAAGGTGGCAACCTAATATATGGATTCTGTGGGGTACATACCTCACCTACCAAAGAAAATAAAGAAGAAGATGGAAAAGTTGGAGTATATAGGCTGCTAGGAAAATTGCATATGGGCAGCTAAGCAATACAAAAGTCAAATGTGTTTGGCTGAGAGGTTGGAAGCTTTGCCTATAAATAGAGATGATTCCTTCTCGGTTTAGACACACCAGAAAACGAGAGAAGCTAAGCAGAAAGCAAAACAGTGAGAGTAATCTACAGATTATTGTCTGTGAGATAAATAGTGAGTGGTAGTAATATTGTAGTGAGGTGTCTTTAAATAAAGAGTGTTATTTCTTTCAAAATTGTAGTAGTCTCTTAACACTACCAAGTTGTAATATTGTAATAGTTATATTGCTCTGCTCGGGTATTGTATTTTACCCAATTAAAAGAGTTGGTGTCGTTGTTACTCTCTTGCGTTATTATTATTTACAGTGGATATTATTTCTGGGCGGAATATATTATTTTTATCCCAACAATGTGGTATCAGAGCCATGACAAATAATGGTCCGCTATCTTTTCAGTACCCCCGTCTCACGAAAGATAATTATGAGAAATGGTGTCTACGTATGAAAGTCATTCTTGGCTCTCACGATGTATGTGAAATCGTAGACAGAGGGTATGCAAAACCCGATAATGAGGAAGCTCTACCTCAAAATAAAAAAGAGGTCTTGGCAAAGACAAGGAAGAAGGATCAACAAGCCCTCACGCTCATCCACCAACGTCTAGATGATGCCATGTTTGAGAAGTTGGCTGATGCTACCACCTCAAAGGAAGCTTGGGAGATTTTACAAAATTCTCTTCAAGGAGTTGACAAGGTGAGGAAGGTAAAACTTCAAAATCTAAGGGATGATTTTGAAGCTTTAAAAATGAAGAATCCGAATGCATCTCGGATTATTTTTTAAAAGTGAAGGTTGTTGTAAATCAACTAAGAAGATACGGGGAGGACATAGAAGATGTCTGTGTGGTAGAAAAGATCATTCGCACTTTAACACCTAAATTTGATTTTGTGGTATGTGTTATTGAGGAGTCTAAAGATTTAGACTCTATGATGGTGGAGCAATTGGAAGGTTCTTTATAGGCCCACGAAGAAAAGATCAAAAGGAGACAAGAAGTGCCATTGGAGCAACTTCTTAAAACTCAAACATCCTTCAAGGATTATGCAGGTGAAAAGAGGTATCGAGGAAACGGACGAGGCCGAGTCCGAGGCGGTCATGGAAGAGGAAGAAGTAATGGTAACAACTTCAATAATGAAGTTAAAATCCACCAAACATTCAAAGGTCGTGGTCGTGGACAAAGAGGAGGAAGAAAACGTGGATACTACCAAGAAAATAATAGACAAAGGTATGACAAAACAAAAATTGAGTGTTATAATTGTCATAAATTTGGCCATTACTCTTGGGAATGC